GTCGCCGGGCTGGGGGTTTCAGCACCTGAGGTCCATCGGCGGTTCGCGCGAAAGCGCCCTGGAGTATCAGGACCAGTGAGGCTTTCGCCTGACGCAGTTGGGATTGCTCCCGACTGGGGAGGGGATGGAGGATCGAAGGTAGGCGTGCGAAACTCCTTCCTACCTGTTCCTACTCCTTCTCCTGTCCCCCCGCGGGCGGCGCTGCGGTGAAGTTCAGCAGCTAGCCGCGCCTCGGGTCCGTCGGAGCAGGGGGGGGGTACCTGGGGCACCAACACAGTCCGCACTAAGGCTCTCCAACTCATCACCGAGCCGTCGCGCCGTCGGAGAGCTCGGACGCGAGGCCCCGATGGACCCCTTACGGCGCATGCGCCGCTTGGGTTCCATCGAGGCCGCGTGCGAGATCGCGACGCGGGCTTCGATGAACAGTGAGCTTTAAAGGGCTGATAACCTGTGAATGGGGTTGAAGTACAAGGGTACAGAACCCCTGATCCGTTGGTAGAGGGAAGGAGGGATAGATGGATGTCTTTCCCTCCTGCACGATCAAAAGTATGATCAATCCGTCCCAATACCTGAGCCCAAACGGCCAGGCGCAGGAGAGGTGAGGATAAGGAGTATATATGAGGGTATTACACGGGTTCTATTCACAGGAGGAGGGGTGGTGGTAGCTCGGTCAAGCTTCACTTTTTCGGGGGGGGGGGAGAGGCTGACGCCATGGCCGACGCCATTCAAGCTCCGGAGAGGAGCGGAGGGGGGGGAGGGCCGACGCCATGGCTGACGCCATTAACGCCCGAAGAGGGCTCCAACACGGCCCAAGAAGGGCCCAAGACGGCCCAAGAAGCCCCAAGGAGGCTCCCCAAAGGCCCCCAAGAGATTCAAAAACTTCCTCCAGCGAACCCCCGAGAAGCCTCGAGGATGCCCCCCAAAAGCCCCCCGAGAAGCCCAGGAGCGCCCCCCAAAGGTGTCATACATCATCTACGTCAACATCCCATTAGTTTGGCTGCTCACGCGAGATCTTCATTTTCGAATATCCGAAGGTTGCCCTAGCGAGTTCAACATATCTATCTTATGAAGATGTCTGGAATGAGTGCTCTACTTTGATGCATGAAAGGTCTTACGTTGCAAGCAGAATCGGTAGCACCACGGATCGGCGGCACTGCCCGGAGGCCACTACAATCATAAGTATGATGGCCGTGGGTCAGTCTGGTCGTCTTGGAACCGGAATTGTCGCCGCGACCGCAGTGGGGCCAAGGGGTGCCAGGATCCCCAAAGTGGCCCGAAGACTGTTGGAAGCGGTTCCGGGAGATCCCTAAGACGTCCCGGGAACGGACGGAGCGCTTGTCCAGCTGAGCCGTATCCCCACGAAACGATGCGTAATTAGGTATTTGATATCCGCCACCGTGCCCTGAGGCACGAGCTGGAGTGCCCATAGGTCCCTTCGAGTTCATATATTCTGCCAAGAGGCCGAGGTCCCTGCTTTCCACATCCTCTTGGCGCTCTCGGGCGCGGCCGGGGTCGGCCGCGTGACTATCCCAGGGGCACTAGGGCAAAGATCGCTCCAGTGCGCCAAACGATGGCCCACAGACGGAGACACCCACGACGCCCCAAGAGGGCTCCAAGAGGCCCCCCAAAGAGGGCCCCGATATGCCCACAACATTGAAATCCATTCGGTAGTTGAAGGCTCTTGGCGTCTCGCCTTTTCGGGCGTTCAACGGACCAAGACTACTCAAGAGGCCACCAGATCGCCCCAAGACAGCTCAAGAGGCCCTCCAGAGAACTCGCAAGAAGGCCCATGATGGCCTCAAGACTGTAGGGTCCCAAGACGGCCCAAGGGGGGCCCAGAGGTGAAATACTACGTAGAATGTTGTGCCCTTCGCCCCAAAATTGCCCCTGAGACTGCCAGCTAACAGGCCCCCCGCAAGCTCCAAAGGCCCTCAAGAGACCCAACGTAGGCCCCAAGTTGCCCAAAAGAGACCCCCGAGAGGCCCGCAAGACACCCCAACACCTAATTCAAGAGGCTTTCGAGACGCCTTCCACGAGATTCCCACAGGCATCCCAGAGACCTCTGAACTACAAGCCAGCCGCTGTGGCGGGATGGGTCGAAAGCCATTCGATCCGCCGCCCCATGTGGTCTTGCCACGGGAGTGCCTGGCGTGGTGGATTCCACATGTTCTGGGTCGTTCAAAACTCCTCCTGGGGCTTCGGCCGATGCCGCCAGCCACCAGGGAAGCCGTTGCCCCAATCGCACTCAAGACGGACAAGATGACCCAAGATGGCATCCAAGATGGCCCCAACATGCCCCCAAGACGGCCCAATATGCACCCAAGACACCTCCACGACGGCCCAAGAGGTCTCCAAGAGGTCCTCCAGGAAAGCCCGAAGAGGTCAAGACCATTGATTTCCTACAGGTTGTTGACGGATCTTTGCTGTTGCTTCTTTTTGGTGCTCAGACGGCCCAAGACGGCCTCAGCGGCGCCGAACATCGCCTCCAAAACCCCCAAGAGGCCTCCAACATCGCCCCGTGACGGCCCAAGAGGCTCCCAAGACGGCCACAAAAAGGCTCAAGAGTCTTCCGAGACGCCCAAAATTGGGCAGACCCCGAATTCCAGAAACGAAAACCCGGAACTCCAGAATTCCGGGTTTCCAATTGGGAGACTTGAAGAGATCCAGGTAAAATGGGGATGGAAAAGGAGGAGGGAGAGGAGGAGAAAAAGGAGGAGGAGGAGGAGGAGGAAGAAACAGAAGGAGGAGCAGGAGAAGAGGAGGGACAAGAGGACAACGAAGGAAAAGGAGGACGAGGAGGAGGAGATGGAGGCCAACAAGGAAAAGGAGGATGAGAAGGAGGAGAGGGAGGGCAACGAGGAAAAGGGGGAGGAGAGGGAGAAGGAGGAGGAGGAGGGGGAGTAGGAGGGAGGAAGAGGAGGAGGAGGAGGAGGAGGAGGAGGAGGAGGAGGAGGAGGAGGAGGGGAGGACAAGGAGGAGAGAGGAGGAGGAGGAGAGGAGGAGGAGGGAGGGGAGGGAGAACAACAAGGAAAAGGAGGGGGAGGAGGAGGACAACGAGGAAAAAAAAGGAAAGGGAGGAGGAGGAAGAGGAGGAGGAGGAGGAGGAGGAGGAGAAGGAGGACAACGAGGAAAAGGAGGAGGAGGAAAACGACTAAATGGACGAGGAGGGGGAGAAGAGGGAGGAAAACGAGGAGAAGGAGGAGGAAGAGAGGGAGGAGAACGAGGAAAATGATGAGTAGGAAAGCGAGGAGAACGAGGAAAAGAAGGAGGAGGAAAAGGATAAGAACGAGGAAATAATGATGAGGAGGAAAACGAAGAAAGGGGAAGGAGTAGAAGGAGGATATGGAGGAAAAGGAGGAGGAAAACGAGGAACATGAGGAGGAGGGGAACTATGAAAAGGAGGAGAGGGAGAACGAGGAACAATTTCCAGTAGATTGCCTCCAGGATCCTATGGATGTCCTAGGTGATCCTTCTGGATGTCCGATGGATTCCGATGGATGTCCGAAAAAATCCAATGGATGTCTGAAACATCCGATGGGTTTCCTACGGAATCCGAACGCAATAGTATGGAGGAATCCTGCGCATGTCCTGCGGCATCTTAGGGATTTCCTAAGGCATTATATAGATTGCCTCCGGAAATCCGTGGGCTTCCGCAAGACATCCATAAGAATCCTTCGGAAATCCATTTGGTTCCTGAGGGGATCCAAATTCATCCTTCCTTTTCCACATTCACCTTCCTCTCCTCCTCATATTCCTCCTTTTCCGCGTTTTTCTCCTCCTCCTTTTCCGTTGGCCTCCTCCTCCTCCTCCTTATCCTTTTCCTCGTTGTCCTCCTCCTCCTCTTCCTTTTAATCGTTCTCCTGCCTCTCCTCCGCATCCTCGTTTTCCTCGCTTGCTTCCTCCTCCTCTTCCTCCTTTTCTTCGTTGTCCTCCCTCTCATCCTCCTGTTTCGCCCTCGATTCTCCTCTTCCTGCCCCACGTGAAACTCGAATGGCTTCCGCAACGGCTAGGGGAACGCATGCTCCAATAACGTGGCCAACCTTTGCCGAAACGTTCGGCCACATACGCTTACGCTCAAAGGCAGGGGGCGGCGGTGATTCGCCAGAGGCGCATTCGATATGTTACCCAGCTGGGACCCCAAACATTGCAACACTGCGATATTGCACTGTGGAGGGGTAAGCTTTGAGGGTTTAAGGCATGTGACATAAGGTGAAACCTGTGTCGTGTAAGCGATGTGGGTTGAGATATGGAGGTGACAGATGTGCGGTATAAGCAGTGTGAGATATTATGTCAACTGGAGGTGCAAGCCATGTTGTAAAACTAGTACGATTCAGGCTATGTTGAGCGAGCTAGGTGAGCTTAGGGAACGTGGGGCAACCTCGGAAACCAACCCAGCGCATGGGGCGCCCACGAGGCGCCCAAAAGGAGGCAAGAGCGGCAACGCGGCGCCACGGTGCGCTTACCGGCACGTGTGGCTTGGGGCGTGAACCTGGCAACGCTATCCAGTGTTTGTAGACATTTAAGTCATTAACCCTAAATGAAGGTACTTCCTGGGCAATCAGGATCGGTCCGTGTAGTCTGTCGAGCCGCGCCCAGCGGTGGCGACGAGAACCTCCAGGAACGCCCAACTGACCCCCGAAACGACGACGACGTCGCCGTCGGCGTCGACGCCACCGCCGTCGTCGCCGTCGCCATCGCGGCCAAGACTGTCGCCGTCGCCACCGCGGACAACGTCTTCGTCGCCGCCGCTGCTGGCAGGGGTGGCGGATCATCGTTATCCGTGATCGTCGAGGCCGCTCCGCTGCCGGGATGGGTTGGCCTGAAACCGTCGGGTCCTGAGGCAGGCGGGCCCTGGAGCGCGGAACTTCCCCCGAGGCCCCGCTCCCCGCTCTGGGCCGTGCTCTCACGACCCCGTGGCCCGTGCAGGGGACCGAGCGGCCGAACACGGCCGCTTGGCTCCACCCCGGCGAAGGACGGGGCCCGGGCTGGGCGGGTGAGGCCTCCGGCAACCTCCCCTCGAGCTGCGCCTGCGAGGCGGCCTTCGCGTCGCGGTCCTGGGCCGGGGGAGGGGAGCCGCGGCCGCGCCGCCGCGTCCCCCGCGGCAGGGCACTGGCTGTGCACAAGCGACAGCGCCACCACCAGCGCGAGGCACCAGGAAGGGTCCTCAGCTCGCCCCTCTCGCCTGAGACATCCCTAATCCCCAGCTCGGGGAGGCAACGTGAGCCCCTTCGCTAGAGGTGGCCCCCTCCTGCCTCCGACCACTGAAGCGTTCAGGAAGCTACCATCTCTGAAAAATCGTACGGAACGATCCGCGCCATATCGCACCCGCGTCGTGGCAGGATGCCTCCCATCTGGGGTCCGAGAAGATGGGGTCGGATTATCGCGCAGCATCGTCAATGCACCCCAGGTTCATCGGCGATACATCAGTGTCGTCGGCGACGCATCGGCGACGTTGGCGTGGAACGAAAACTGACTTCACATCGAGCCCATCCACTCGGACCCCGTTTGGGAGAAAAACAATCTCTGGGCCGGGCGAACGCTTTCAAAAGGAACCGCCAAACAAGCACAACGAAAATCCGATCCAGTTGAAACAAAGACGGCCCCGAACAAGGAAGCTCCAAGGAATTGAGCTTGCCTCTCCCCGACCCCCACAAGTGAGGGGCAACGATGGGGGGGACTTGATGGGCCTGTTTTCCACCACCACCACCACTATAAGTTGGAGGGGAAGGGGGTACTCCTCCACCTCCTCCTCCTCGTCCTCCTCCTCCTCGTCCTCCTCCTCCTTCCCCCTCTACCTTGAGGTGGTGGTGGTGGAAAACAGGCCCATCAGGACTGGCAGACTGGCACACGAGGGGAAACACCGGCCTGGAATCAGGCGATACGTCTGGCGAAGCCGCACGCTCCTGGGCGGGGGTACCTAACTGACCCCTCTCGGCGATCCATGGGCGATTTGGGGTGTCGATGCCCCCCCCCTGAGACCATCCCCCCCCCTGACTATCTTTGCCCCACAGACATGCGACGTCCTGATGTTTCCAGGACGGCGTCCCCAGAAGGCCCAGAAGTCCCAGAAGTCCCGACCCTTTCCCCGGGACGGGCTTTTCATCCCGAGTCGTTTTTTGAAGGTCCCGAGGCCCGGCGAGGGCCCCCCGAGGCCAGAATGGGCGAGGAATCTCCCGTCATGATTGTTTTACGACGCGATCACGTCTGCCCCTGGGAAGGGCCGACCTCCATGGGCAGGCGAGGGGCCTCCTCGTGCGGCACGTCACCGGGAAGCCTCCGCGGGCCGGCGGCCCGCTCGCGCTCGCCGACGCGGGTGCCGCGGGGCGCACTGCGGCCAGCGGAGGGAGGAGGGCGGCGGCGACGAGGCTCCTGGCGCTCTCTGGCGGCGATGAGCACCTGGGCGCAGGGAGGGGGAGGAGGAGGAGGAGGAGGAGGAGGAGGAGGAGGAGGAGGAGGAGGAGGAGGAGGAGGAGGAGGAGGAGGCAAACTCTATGCACCGACGCTTTTTCCCGCCCCGCATTGACATTCGCACAGGAAAGCGGATCCTGGTGGATACGGGATCCTGGTGTATACATGTTGTGTCATTTCCCCGGGCAAACGGGGAAACAAGTATACACCACACCACACCGACGTCGTCCCCGACCCTCGAAAAACCCTGGGATTGAAAAAACAACCCGCCACTGGTTCCAGATTCCGAGATGTATACGTTCCAGATTCCAAGAAACGTTACCACGACCGGTAGGAGGCTGTTCTTTCCTTAGACTTTGGCAAGCTTGCTCGCACGGCCCCCCTTACCCTACCCCCACCCCCCTCGGCCACCTGTTCCAACAACGCTGGGCCTATAAGACGTGCAAGTCGATTCCGACTCGCGTGAAGACCATACTTCCTTTCGGACCTCGCCACGCCCCGGCCACCTCCCATGCGAGCAAACTTGCCAGGCCTCTAGTCAATAAAAAACCGTCCCTGGCCCAGAGGGGTGTTGCTGGAAGCGAAGCTGGGGGAGGAGGGGGAGAATGAAGAACGGTAAGAATTCTCAAGGATTCCAGGTTGGCCACAAACGCGCCCACGAAGGGGCCCAGGAGTCCTAGGCAGGAAGGAACGGCGTGACGACGACGAAGACGGCAAACAAAGGCGGCGATGGCGACAACGTCACGGCAGGCGACCAACGCGACAAGCAAGGGGAAACATGACGGCGAGGGAAGGAAAAAAAAGAAGAAGTGGAACAACGCTCTCGGTAACTGAATCGTCACAAGAGCCTGGTGGGAAGGAGGGAACAGGAGATGGCGCGGCGAAGGATGTGCGCAGAGATTTCGATTGCCGAATGTGCACGCGATACTGGTAGGGAGGAGGGACCAGGAAGAGAAAGAAACAGTCAAAATAGGAAAGGGCATGGAGGAGGAAGCCGATGAACGAAGTGAAGCAAAAAGAGGGCAGAGGAGAGGCGAGGTGATGAGGAGGAGGGGCAGCAGGATGAAGACGGGGCAAGAGGAGGCAGAGGGCAGGAAGGGGAAGGTCGGTGGGAGGAGTAGGCCAAGGAGGAGAAGAAGGACGGAAAAGGAAGAAGGGAGGAGGTGGAGTGGGGGGGGGGAGCGAGCGAGCGAGGGTGAAACGGGCGACAAACAAAAGTGGTCTCATGGTTCTGGAGAGTGAACTACAAACTTCTCTGTAGAAAGAATGCGAACGCACGATCAGCTCTTGCTGGAAGACACCGATATAACACTGGAGCACGCGTAACAGATGATGATACAATAGCTTCTCACCTGCTTCCAGCAGTCTGGCAGCTGCCGTACAAGACAGGCTAATCGAGTTGACTTCCCTGACCTTCCAGAGTGCAAAACAAAAACCTGAGAAACTATAAACAGACCAGAACGTATCAGGAATCAAAACGTCCTGCTGCTATTTTCAAGCCCTCGTGGAAAGTTACGGTTGTACCCCCCGTCCCTGTCCCTCCCCCACCGTGCCCCCAACCTTTTCGTCAGACCCCCTGGGGCGGTGGGCCAGGGTGTATTATGAGATCCGACGTCGCGCAGAAAAACATGGTGGAAAACACGACCGCAAAACCCAAAACCCCATGTCTGCTGCATTTCTTGAGCCGGACCGATGTGTGTGTTGGTCCGGGACCAAGGATCGGCTGAACACTACCCAGTGCGAAACCATTGCAATGCCCAGATCTCAAGGTCACTCAAAGTCAATCTGGGCCCCAAGAAGGCCCGAATACATCCATCAACTCCACCACCCCCTCGGGGATCAGGAAAGATCGGTTCCTTAGGCGGTGGACGGCGTACAAAATTCCAGCCTCGGACCCTGCCCCCCCCGCGCGCACCTGACCCCAGGGTACACAGCTTGAGTGATCGTGACTGCACGGCTGCAACTGTGGAGCCCACGCGTGGGCCCCTGGCAGGGCTGAACCTAACCCGTGTTTTCCGTTTGTCTTCAATCCGCCTCTACCGCGAAACGAAGTCGAAACGGAAACGGCCCACGAAATCGCCAAAACACCGTTTAGGTCCAGCCCTGGCCCCTGGCGCCGCCTTCCGAGCGTGCCTGTTCTTCTCCTCAAGGCGGAAGGCGACCTCGATGCCCTTCGCCTCCAGGGAGTGGGGGCGGCGGGGCGAGCACCGAGCCCGGCGCCCCTGCTACACCTGGGAGGGTGTGAGCATGTCATACGGTGGGGGCATTGGACAAGGAACCCTCAGATAAGGAATCCAGGGTCTGGAGGCCGGTGGACATGCAATAGTGGATCGGCCATGGATATCACCACCGCCCTCATCAGATAAGGGATCCTCCAGGGTCTGCAGCCTCCTGGGCGCATTCCTTAACGAACGCCCCCACCGTATTGCGGACTGGGTCAGGATGCGTCCCAGGAGTTCCAGAGCACCTGGCGGCCCGGCCGATTGAGTGGCACTTGAGCCGAACTTCAGTCGAAGAAGAGTCGAACTGAGTCGAGGTGGCACCGAACTGGGGCGGAACTGATCCGTCAAGTAGACCCCTCGAAGGTCCCCCAAACGAACGTCTACACGACACATTGCTCTGCTGCTGGTCACCGTGTGGAGCACGTGCCTCCTGGCCGATCCCGGGACTTCAGCATCCTGGCAAGCCTCAGGACGCCGTGAAAGACAACATGAGATAGAGCGCCAGTCTTGTGCCACTAGTTGCGCACTCGGCCGCTAGGAATACAACAACCTGCTGTTGGTTGGGCCATAGGATGTGCACTCGGCCGCAGGGGATACAGCTGTCTTCTGGCGGATGGGTCACAGGTTGCGCACGCGGCCCGCGAGTGCGGAATGAGGAGGGGGTGGAGGAAAGGACAGTGGCGAAAAGGAACGCACAACGTACTGCAACGCATACACTTCCGACCGACAATCAGTCGCGGTGATGTTCCTCGGGGGCCGAATCTGCCACAACACACCATGACACTGGGTAATGAAACCGATTCGCAGAAACGGATTCGCAGCACGCGCGCAGAGGGGAAGGAGGAGCAGCAGCGGCACGAGAGGAAGAAATATGATGAACGAGAGGACGAGGAAGAGAAGGACAGGGGACTAAGTACAGTATCCAGGGCCTCGCAGTGGCATACTAAACAGGGCGAGGACCTTGCAAGCACAGACTGTCAACGAATCCAGCGTCGCTGCACGAGCCACACTGCAATAGGCGAGCAAAAACCACGAACTGAAAATTACATCATGCTGCGCACCGTGCCCGTGAAGCTGACTGCACAGCAACCAAGCCGTGAAAAAGACCAACGGAGCTGCACATTACATATTGAAGGTCTGCTAGTTAGGGCCGCAGTCGAAGCGGAGAGGAACATCCGCGACGCAACATGCTGAATAAGCGTCGTTACTAACTTATCGTGGTGATTCCCCAAGCCACTATATCGCAAGCGCGGTCGACAACGAAACAACACACCAAGTGGGCAGAGAAAACAAGGGAGGCAGCGAAGCTAAGGGCAGGTGGGGAGAGGAAACTGCGAAGGGAGGGGGAGCGAAACAACAACTGACCTAACCTTCGCGGCGCCGGCGGCGCGAACGACCGAGCAAGTCCCCGAGGCGGTGTTCCTTGCGCGCTTCCTGGACCGCGGCCGTACCCTCCCGCGCATCCCCGCTAGGGAAGGACGCTGCCGAACCCTCCAGCGACGTAGAGCTTTGGAGGCCCCAAAAAACATGAGAGAGCAGCGCTGGGAGCTCTCGACAGGGCGCTGCATCACCTGCGAAAACAAACGCAAGCCGCACAGTGCTGGATACTGTCAGCGCCTGTGGGGCAGCCGAGGCGGTAAACAGACCGCTCGAAGCCGCGCGGAAGGCGGAGGCGAACGCGCAAAGGGGGAGCCGCCGCGCGGCTTCAGATCTCCGGGTGCGTCAGAAAACTGCTGGCGGGAACGCTTGGGACAACGCCCACTCCTAGGAAGGCACCAACTATACACCAACACCGACCCTGGCCAGGATCACCCTGGGCCCAAGATCGGTGTATACGCCATCCTGCGTTGCGCAAAAAGGAATATATACCGATCCTGGGCCCAGGGTGATCCTGGGCCAGGATCGGTGTTGGTGTATAGTTGGGGCCCTCCGAACTCCTCGCCAGCACTGCGAGCGAATGCGCAGGAAAACATCGACTGCAGGAAACGAGCGCTCACACAACAGCTCCCGGACACCCGTTGCGTGCCACGCCGCCCGACGGCGAGCCCGCGCCGCCCGGGGCGCCGACCACGCGCGGGGCCGCCCCAGTCGATGCCACAACTGATCCTCCCGCGCACGGCACAAAAGGGAATATGCTGTACAACCACTTCCGCACTGCAGATTGGAACGCCAGGGGTCCGTCACGGTCCAGCAAGCACCAGCGAACGCGCGCGGCCCGGGAGAGAACGTGAAGCTCTCCTGGGTGTGAAACTTCGAAGACGCAAGACCGTACAGGCGAAGCGTCTGCACATGAGTTCGCACGGGCCAAACTATATGGCCTCGTCCTTGAGTATGCCCCCCACGCTGGAGCCCGAGGCAGCAACGTCTTGCCGCAGCTACGTGGCCGAGAAACAAGTAGCAAAAAGGCGGCGCGACCGCGGTTTCTTGAAAATGAGGCGCAGGCCCGACATGCTGCAGAAATCGCCGAACAGCTCGCGAAGGAATGGTGGCCTCGAGAGCGCCTGGGCTGCTGCGAGGGCGAAGTCGCCAACGTCAGCCCTGTCTGCGGCGTCGGGCAGGAGGCGCTGAATCCTGGGCGGCAGCAGGTCTGAAGCAACAGCGAAAAGCAACGGCGACAGCGGGCAGCCTTGAGACACCCCGCGGGCGAGCGCGAACCTGTCGCACCTTGGCCCCGTCAGCGCGACGTCGCAGAAATTGCCCCGGCACAACGCCAGGGCAAAACGGGCGCCAACCGAAGCGCCCGCATCAGGGAGGTGCGCTGCACGGACGAAGCGCGGCCTCAAAGTCGAAACGCGCGGCCGACGCCCCTGCGTCCTGGACGCACTGCGCCGCCATCTTCTCAACGACGTCCGCGACGCCAGCGCCCCCCGCAAGGAAGCCGCGCTGGGCGGGAGAGACCCCGGCGGCCACGGCGTCTTCGACAACCAGCCTCGCCGCGCTCGCGGGGGGCAGGTTGCCCGCGCTGGTCACGTTCGGCGGCCTCGCCTGCGCGGCGCCATGGAACAGCCCCCCGTCGTCGGCCTGATCTGGCAAGCCCTTCGGGATGTAGATGAGGAGACTATGATTGAAATCCGGGGCGCGCCCCTGGAGCCGACGAGCCCCGCCCCCCCTCAGACGTCCGCGAACGCCTCTCAAAGCGCACTTTTGGCCAAGCCCTCGATCTGTCAAAAGAAAATGCGTCTGGCCCTGGCGAAGAACGGCTCGAGCTCCGCGGCGCCCGCCCGACGCGCCTTGGCCGAACGGGGGAACTTCGAGCATGGGGCGGGGCGAGCCGCGGTAACGGCCGGGCGCCCGCATCGCCCAACCGCGCGGCCATCTCCTCGCCGCCGACGCCCCGCGCTCGGAAGACACCAGTCCAAAGACAGCGAAGAGGGTCCGCGTCGCCGCCGGGGGACGCGCGCAACTCCCCCGGCGCGACCCGCAACGCGCGAACGGGAAACCGCCCCGGCCGACGTCGGACAGTGGATCGGCGGCCGCGGGCCCTCGCCGCTGCAGCCTGGAAGGAGTTGAAGCCCTGAAGCGCCTGAGACCACCCATCTCGCCCAACGCGCGCGAACGAGCCAACTCGGGCGCGCGCCCCCAGACCCGACGCATCGCTTTCGCGACTTCCCCGGCGAGAACATCAACGAGGGCTGGCGACAAGTGCCCTCGAGCGTGGATAAAGGGCCAGGCGCGAGGGCGCGCCCCCGGGAAGTCCCCGCTCGAAGGAGCGCACGAACGGATGGTGGCCCACAGCCTGTCGTCGAGCGCCTCGGCCCGCGGGCGGCTCGAAAACTCCCCTGCGAGAGGGGCGCTGGCCAGCTGCGCCGCCGCAGCGAATCGCGCCTCCGGATGCCGACGTCCTCCGGGTGAAGACGCAGAAGCTCCCCGTGCTCTAAGTGGGCCCGCGGACCGTAGCCTGGGCGCTGGAAGGCCCGCTCATAAACTGGCCGCTACGACGCGGGCGCGCGCTGCAGAGCGCGGCGGGCAGCGGCGACCGCGCCGCGCGCCGAGAGGCAAAGATTCAGAGGGGCGACGCAGCAGGAGAGGCGAGGCGGCCCAGCTGCTCAGCCCCGAGCTCGCCGAAGAGCGCGTAAAATCTGGCCGGCGCACGTGGACTGATGGGCAGTCCGAACGCAGACTGACAACGTCGCTCCTTCTTGACCCCGACCACCGGAGCCCTGCTGCACATGGAGCACTCCGAAGGGCGAAAGTCGAACAAATCGGCTTCCGTCAGGCGCGACCCCGGCGCGGCCGTAGACGACCGCTGCGTCCGAGGCCCCCGCTGCTCCTCCGAGCGGATGCTCGGCCGCTCGGCCTCTTCATATCATTGGCCAGACAAGCGCGGGGCGTCGCAGAGAGACCCCCGCCCCGTCGCGCTCGGCAGCGGGGCCCGCGGACCCCCGGAAGAGCCCGGCAGAGCGCGCAATCCCCGCTCGCGACATGAATCCCCTCAAAAAGCAAATGTCCGTCGCGCGCATCATCTGTCGGGCGCGCCGCATCTCCCGGCCCCGCCGCGCAAATTCCGACGCGAAGATTGCCCGTGCATTCCGCGCGCGAATCATCGCGTCGCTCCGGCACAGCCCAGCCCGACGGTCGGAGAACGAAAGCGTCGGCGGCGGCCGCGCCATCCGGGAAGATGAGCGGGCCGACCCCCGGCGAAAGGGGCCCGCAGAGCCTGCCGCGCCGAAGAAACGTGGGCGCAGAGTCCGGGCGAGGGGAAACAGAAATTGTTGAAGTCGCCACCGAATGACGCCGACCAGGCAACGCAGTCGCCGCCGCGCGCTGCCCAGCGCAGAAGACGAAGCATAATGCATGGACCATTGCCGAACGATCAAGTCATGGGGGCGCGCCCTCGCGATTCGCGATCACGGCCAGCACGGCGCGACCTGTCCGCGGGCGGGTGGAGCCGCGGAACGACGCCCGCGAGGATGCTTGCCTCGCCAATGCAATCCAACACTCGACTTCCCAACGTCGATGGGCCGCCAGCCATGCTCCGCAGATCGCGGGGGCAGGGGGGGGGCGCCGCGCCCGCCGCCGGGCCCTGTTCTCCGCCGCGGCGTCCGAACCGAACCGCTCATTCACCGCTTCCACGCAGACCATGGCGCGCCCCGCCTGGGCGGGCTGTTCGCGAGCGGCCGCGCGTAGGCGGGCCACCGCATGGGCATCAGGAAGGACCGCCCGCGCGCGGCCACCTGCGCCTCCGCGCAGGTCGGCAGGAATGCACCCTCGCCCATGGCGCGCCAGTGCGCCGCCCCCCGCGGCCCCCCATCTGCTCGCCGGGGCAGCGCGCGTGAGCGGCGGCCTCGCGACATCCGCGCCCTCGCGCCCCAGCTCGCCACGATCCGCGACCACTGCGAAGAGTTCAACGGCGACCGGGGCGCGGCCAGCCTTCCAGCGAGCGGCGGCGAGCGCCGAGGGTGCCGCGCATGGCGCGGCGTCGGGGCGGGCCCCGCGGGATGGCTTCCACCGCGGGGTCGTCGCCGCCGCCGTCGGGCCCGCGCGCAGCACGCGGCACGCGGCGCCCACCCACTCGCCTGAAACGTCTCCGCGAGGGTGGGGGGGCGCGACGGGCTCATCACAAGGAGCTGGCCACAGAGCGGCCAGGAGCGGCGGGGCAATTGCAACTTGTCCGCGCCTGCAACGATGGCGCCAGGAGCTGCGCGCAAGGCCTGCGAGCCAGAAAATGCAATTATAGGTGGTCGAAACCGGAGTGCCTGGCCGATCACAATCAAAAGCGAAGCTCCCGAGGGTCGGGGGAAGGAGGGCATGGATCACGAAACTCGACATCTCCGTGGCGCGCGCGGGGCCGCGACGGGGGCGGCGCCCAGTGGCCCCCTGCATGACGGGATCCTGCGCGCGGACTGCGGCGAAATTCATCACATCCCCCGCCTCCCGGTCGGCGGGCGTCGGCGCAGCCGCGGCGACCTGCAGACGGAGGACCTGTGCTGCGGCATCTTGGGGGGGGGGCCGCGCGCCCCGGCAAAAGGCCAGCGCGGGCGCGCCTCGGCGCGATGGGCCCAGGCCAGGCAGCGCCGCGTCCAACGGCTCGTCAGAGAGGCCGATGCCTCGAACAAGGGGGGGGGGCCACCTCTCACCCGGTAGCAGAGACCACCAATTGTCAAGTAGATGCTGGACGTCGCGCGCGCCGCTGACGGGAGGGGGGACGGCCGCGCGCCCGCTCTGACACGGCCAAGCAGCGCCGCCCGGCAACGCGGGGTCGCACTGGCACCCTCGGGGTCCAAGCGACCGCGCGCTCCCCGCCCATGGCCTGCCGGGCGCTCTCCGCCCAAATTTCCAGCAGCGGCTCCACCGCTCGAGTGTGCTCCTGATCGCAATCGCTGGCCTGGGGTGGTACAAGCAGCGAGGATCACCGTGCGAGAAAACAGCGCGTCCTGTTGCCCCGTCTGGGCACGGAGGATGACGAGGGCATCTGTGCCGAGCTCCTTCCAAAGGGCAGCGTGCCGGTGCGGATGCGTCGCCCTTCCTGAGCACATGTGGCAACTCCTCCCAGCAGGCCGCGGTCTAGGCCGCCTGCCGATCGGAATGAGGCCAGTCGACCTTGCTACCGAGCGCGCACAATTGGACAGCCGTTCGCTTCCGGGCGGCCAGTGCTGGGGCTGTCGGCGGGGTGCCCCCTAGGGCCGCGAAGTCCAGCTGCTGCCACGAGTCAGAGGCGCTTGGCGCGTATCCTAGCTGGCGGAGGATGTCTCGCAGCGTGCCCCAAGTCCTGGGGGAACCCAGCGGTGATGTTGTCGCCGTCTGTCCCGCTCTGCATCGCGGCCTGTACGGGCTCGAGGTGACGCAGGACCTCCTGCTCGAGCCAGTCATGGAACATCGGGCGCAAGCCGCCGTGGCCGAGGCCGCGTCCAGCGCGCGTGCCATTCGCAGCACCCTCCCACGCATCTGCGCGGCGCCCGAAGGGATTGTCGCTCCAGCGGCGGCCTTGGCATGAGCGGCGCAGTGGGCGACCCCCAGCAGGACTGGAGCGTCGACGCCAGAGGCGAGACTGCGCATCGCCCCGCCATCAAACTGTACAGGGCGGCTAAAAAATGCGACTCAGCCTAGGCACCTCCTCCTTGAGCCACTTGAGCCACTTGAGCCGCTGGAGCGCACTCAGTGTCCTCGAGGGACCGCTCCGATGAGCGCTCGCGGGAAACGCTTTGAGGATGCTCTGAGCGGGGCCCCGGGGCGCCCCCGGGGCGCCCCCAGGGCGCCCCCAGGGCGCCCCCAGGGCGCTCCAGGGCGCCCTAAACTCCCTTATGAGGGGGCCACACGGGGCTCGCAGTGAACTCCGAATGCGCTCTAGAAAGCGCGCCCAGGCCGCGCAGGGAGCGACCCCAGTGAGCCTCCAGTGCGCTGCAGCATTGCGCACTCGAGGAAATTCGATCACGGCGCCCACATGGCGCTCCCAGGAAGCGCCCACAGGGCGATGCATGTGAGCTCCCAGGAAATGTACCCAGAGCGCTCCCATGGCGCTACAACCGTGCCCCCAGGGAACGTCCGAGTGCCCTCCACCGCTCCGAAGGCGGCCAAATGAAAGCGTTCCCATGGCGTTCCACATGCGCTCCCATGGCGCCCCTACGGAACCGCAAGGTCTCAACTGGATCCCCGTGCGCATCTACTCCGCACAACGAAAAAAACGACAATCGCGCACTTCGCAGCCACCCAAGGAGCCGCGAGGTCTCGACTGGATCCCCGTGTCCCTCCACTCCGCGGGACCTCCGAGGAACCCACGAACGTGCGACAATTGCGCGAGCCGCGAGCTCTCAACTGGATCCACATATCCCCCCACTCCGCGGGACCCCCATGAACCCACCAAAGTGACGGCAATTGCACATTTCGCATCCCCGCAGGGAGCCGCGAGGTCCCAACTGATCCCACTCCGTACGACATCCCAGGAGCCAACACAAGAGGGCGGTAGCGATAGCGCACACCGAAGAGCAAGGGCGCACGAACCATGCTCGCGACAGGAGGCAGGAAATAGGAGGCAGGAGGCAGGAGGGGGGGAAGGAGGAAGAGTGGAGACCACAGTGCTCTATTCAAAACGAGAAGCCAACACAGGAGAGTTGAGAACACTTATCTTTTGGACATGACAAGTCAACAACGCAACACCAATCCGCCCAACTTCAGCCACGCACCAGGGACACTGAATGGGCGTTCCGCCTCCTTACCCTGAAATGCCGTAGCACCCCGCAGATGCGGGTAAGAGTGAGGGGACGGTGCGGACGTCGGCAGTGTGCGAGACTCTGGAGAAGCCTGCCGCAGGCGCCAAAGCTTCAGAAATAAAACAACGAGCCCGCGGCAATTGCCGATTTTGGCGCCAATCCAATGTGGGTAGGTCGCGGGTGGGTCGCGGGGTGGGTCGCAAATGGGTCGCGGGTGGGTCGCGGGTGGGTCGCGGGGTGGGTCGCGGGTGGGTCGCGGGTGGGTCGCGGGTGGGTCGCGGGGTGGGTCGCGGGTGGGTCGCAAGGTCGCGGGTGGGGCGCGGATTGGTCGCGGGGTGGGTCGCGGATGGGTCGCTGGGTGGGTCGCGGGTGGGTCGCGGGGGTGGGTCGCGGGTGGGTCGCGGGTTGGGTCGCGGGTGGGTCGCGGGTTGGGTCGCGGGGTGGGTCGCGGGGTGGGTCGCGGGTGGGTCGTGAGTGGGACGACAACAACAAACAACAACAACAACGCAACAAGCATAATCCTCACCACGAGTCGGTACGTCAGCCACGCAACCAGGGACAATGAATGACCGTTCGGCCCCCTCACTCTGATGTATGCAACAAGTGAATACAAGGAACAACCAACAATACTGTCAATGTGGCTCCAATCGGAGGCCAAACGACCACGATCAACGTGCTACCGCTGCAGAAGCACTCAGCGTCCGCTCAACAAGCCGAATGAGCAGCATGAAAGGTGGGAAAGCAGACTCGCGCACGTTATCGATGCTCGTTCTCCTCGCTCCCTTGATGGGGGAGCGTCAACGGTCGGGGCGGGCAGCTCAGATGTGCCAACATCGACTTGGAATCGGCGCTGCATCACCAGGAGGGCGACGGTCGGCCCCCGATAGCTACTCCGCATCTTCCTTGGCGGGGCGGCCCCCGTCGGCGATGAATAAGAAGCAATCGGCATTAGGATTCAAGAGGAACCAATACGAATGAATACGAATCATTCAGAACCAGTAGGAATCAATCGGGACCAATGGGAATCAATAAGAACCAATAAGAATCACTTAGAATCAAGTGGAATACATCGGAATCAATAGGAATCGAGAGATGCATCCACCAATATTTTGTCCCCAACGTTGCCCCTGAGCCTTCTTCCCCTCGCGATGCCCCAACGTACAGAGGGAAGCGCCCGTCGACGGGGCCGAAGCCAGCTGCATGCAGCAGAAATGCAACCCCCTGGTGTGGCAACTCATGGGGGCCTCCCATGCCATCTTGCTAGCTCTTGCGGATCGACGCTCATCGACGTTAGTCGATGCTACAAATGTGTTTCTTATCGATTACCGGACGCTAGCGCACGCTGGTGCACTCCAAGTAGCGACGTTCGAGGAGATGCGAGGCTCTCGTGGGTTGCGCCCGAGACCCACCCTTTCCCTGCCGTCCGCCCCTCCCACCCCAGAGGAGACCAGGTCGTGAAAGCGGCGCGGGCACGGGCGGAAGCAGAGCGCCTTCAGCATCTTTGGGTGCTTGGGCGAGCACCCCATGGCCTCCGGCGGGGGTCGCCACGCGGTCGGCAGCCCGCAGGGTCAGTGGACCTGCCAGAGTGCTAAAAACCCTCCAGACCGATCAGGACTGCTGAAAGCCATCACTTAGACTATCAGGCTAAAACGTCTCCTTGCTCTGTGTGAGCACACCCGGCTGCAAGGTCAGGGTGCGGGCGCAGGGGCGAGGCGAGGAGGACTGCGAGGCGATAAGGACTCTTTGTCGGGCGTGTTCCTCCTCCTCCTCCTTCTCCTCCACCTCCATTCCTCTTCCTCGAAAAATCCCACCAGCCCTCTGGGCGACAGGTGGTATAACAATGTCTTTCTTCCTCTTCCACAACCCGTTCTTCCCCTTCCGGGAGGCGTTTACCCCTCCCCCTGCCCCCTCACCTAGACCTGAATGGGGGGGGTCGCCAGGGGTTTGAGCGTCCAAGATGGCCCAAGATGGTTCCAAAAGGGCCTCAGAGACACCCGAGATGGCCTCCAAGATCGCTCAAGATAGCCCAACATGGCTCAAGGTAGCTAACAACATGCCTCCAAGAGGCCCCAAGAAGGCCATACGACAGATCCAAATGTTTTGGGCGACCCTTGAGGACCTCCCCGAGAAGCCAAGATCCTTCAAATACCTGGGGAGAACCAATGAGCTGTGCCTTCTCGCCTAGTCGCTTCCGATGCGCTTGAGAGGCCTCAAGATGGCCCCGGAAAGCTCCAAGAAGGGCCCAAGAGGACACCAAGCGGGCCCCAATGGCGCCCAAGATCGCCCCAAGGGGGCCCCAAGAGCGCCCCAAGAGACAATTTCAATGGCCTGGGAGGGGAAGGGAAATCGAGGACCCCCTCTTCTTTGATCGATGGTCTCCAAGATGGCCCCAGGAGGCGCTCCATAGCTCCCAAGAGGGCCCCAAGAGAGCACCAAGAGGGCCCCAAGAGGGCCCCCCAAAAGAGCTCCAAGAGGGCCCCAATATCCCCCAATGCAGCCACGTAGCTCAAAGAAGGCTCCAAATGCTCCAAGCTAGCCTCCAAGATGTCTCAACACCCTCCTGCCTCCCATCTCATTGCACGGTCTGTTTCAGGATATGTGCCTCTTCTCTCTAATTCCCGGCAGCTCTCATAGGCAGGGCTTCCGAATAGGCTGGTGACGATTCGCGAAGCGTAGACAATAACTCCCCCCTGTCGCGCACCGAGGCCAATCGAAAGGGCGGTCAGAGCGTTTCGCCTAAGACGTCCGTAGCATATATGACCTGGAAGCTTCAAACTTGATACTAGCTAAGCCGATGGAGGGCGTGCCGCTTCCAAAGTGTGCATCTCGCCTTAGCATTGCGCACATTCATCTTTGGAAGGTTTACGGGTGTCGCTGATTATCATGCTTAGCGAACGTACCAGAAATTATGTGCTGGAACGGTTCAAGATGGTCACAGCAGTTACGTGGATTCTTGGAGTTGACGTCCCGAGAATGATGTCCTGGCGTGACTCAGGATCCTCGAGACGCAACAATCAAATTGATTCGTGCCGCTGGAGTCCAGGCTTCAGGATCTCCAAACGGTTGTCTCCCAACGGGCCTCTCCCCTCAATGGAAGAGGGCGCTTAGAAGGAGAGTTGATGACAACATCGTTGATGCATCTTGGACGTACACTGGTCCTGCTCCTCCTCCTCTTCCTCCTCCTCCTCCTCCTCTTCCTCCTCTTCCGCTTCCCTCTCCTCCTGATTCCTCGCACCTCCCCTGTTGGTAAGCGACGCCTGGACTATCCTCGTAAGAACCGCAATAAACATGAAACAGCTGTTTGGTAAAGACAATTGAGGGGCCAGTGCGCTGGATTGGCCTAGATCACGCCCACGAATCAAGCCGACTGAGCAAGATTCAGCGGGGCTACGCCGTATTACGCCTGTTCTCGGCCACGGATATACAAGCGCGCACTGGGTACGTGAGCATCTCGTCAGGTAGCCGCTGCGCGACGATGCTGTAAGACGAAGACAAGACTGGGACAACAATGGATCGGGGCAAGTCCGGGGTCACTCAACTCCCGCGGTTCTGGAGGATGGTTTGGACTGCGCGGCCATTCCAGAGCGCTCAAGAACGCTCTGGAACAATATATCCAGGTCCTAGCCCCACATGGTGCTGCTTACATGGTCCTCGTGTCATCTGGACAAAGCTGGCTGGACATGACGGGACGCACGCACCTCTGGCGGTTCTCGTATCCTGATCCCTCAGACCCAGCTCTGGCCCTTACGATCTAGCGCTCCGAGGCAGAACAGCGCCAGGGTGCCATGGGTGCATTGTCCAAACGCCCTGGGCCCCCTAAAGCATCTCAGCAACTGACCCCAAGACACCTCCAAAGGTCCTCCAAGATACGGCCGAAGGTCCCCAGTTCACGCGTTCTGGACGTGCACCCAGCGAAACGAGAGGAATCTGCAATGCTCTTCCCCTCGGGGAGGAGATGTTGAGATGGAGGAGAAGACCTGGGGGAGTGACGAGGAGGATGGAGGGACTGACGAAGATGGAGCACGGTTGATGCGGATGAGGAGGAGACGGAGAGAAGGATGAGGCGGAGGACGAGGAAAACCGTACTGGCGGGTGCAGAGCCTTGGACAGGCGCAGGTCCTCGGCGATCTTGTCCGCGGCCCTCCTGGTGGCGAGACAAAATGGATGGGAGGGACGGGGGAGGAGGCATGGGCGCCACGGAGCCTCTGGGGCGTCACTGGAAGTGCTCTCGCAGCCGCAGCCGCAGCCGCAGACACAGCCCGAGCCGCAACCACAGCCACAGTGCGGCCAGAGCTGCAGCCGCAGCCGCAGCTGCATTCCGAGCGCTGCAGCCCGAGCGCTGCAGCCCGACCGTACGCTGTGGCCCTGGCGCTGCGGCCCGAGCTGGAGTCCGAGCGCTGCAGCGCCGGCGTTGCGGCCCCGCGCTGTAGCCCGAGCCCTGAGCGCCGCAGCCCGAGCGAGGCGTCCCCAGCCGCAGCCCGCGACGCGGCCCGCGCCGCAGCCGGGCGCGTACCTCGGGGTGCTGGCCTCACGTGGCCCCCAGGGAAGGGCGGCCCGACGAGGAGGCAGGAGACCTCATGGAGGCTCCTGGGAAAAACTCCTCAGACGGCGGGGGGATGCTCGTCAGGGTGGGGGGTCTGCCTCGAGGGAGGGGGGAGGGCAGCAGCGACCTGGAATCAGATGGCGGGGGGGAGGGGTCTTCGAAGAACGAGGGGGGGGCGTTCAGGGGACGTTCGGCTGTGATTCCGTTAGTCTGCGATCGTGGGTGTGGCGCTCGGGCCGCGGAGACGTCCCGCCACGTGCGCACAACGCCCGCAGGCCTCCAGAGCCGCCCCCACGCCAGTGCTATCGCGAAACTGTGACCGCCCTTCCCTGAGGCCCATGTTCCTCCCCGAGCCGTTCTCGAGGGGTCCTGCGGGGCCTAATCATAAGGGAGGCCATTTCGGAGGCCGAAGACGGCCAAAAACCTGTCCGTCCTGATTGTGCTAGCGACGCGAGGGGTTGGCATGAGGGAAGCGGGACATGGAAGAAAGGAGCCCAGGAACAGATTCGTCGCTCTTGGCCTCGCCCCCCCCCCTTGGGCCTAGGGGCAGTCGACAAAAACACCTGGAGGCCAAGATAAAGGACTGGTCCGTGGAGAACGCCCCGCAAGCATGCAACGATGATTTACGCGCGGCCCCATGGGCCCCGACCACTTGCCAGCGGGTAAGTGTTCATCCCCGGACCCATGCTGGAGTACATCGTCGGAGATCCGAGCTCATGGCGAGGGGGGGCGTGGGTCCCCAGTGGACTGGATGGCCGAAGCGGCGCTTCCCTGAGCTCCCCTCCTTTTCCTGAGCACCCTGACTCTTGAGGGAGCGTTCGGGGAAGCGTCTGGCCAGCCCATTGCAAACGAGCCCAGCAGCAGCGACGAGGGGGAGAGCGGCTGCGAGACGGCCTGGCCGGCCGGAGCGTCGCCGTCGCCGTCTTCCCGGGGCGCACGGGGCGGGGGGGCCCGTCCTGGCCATCTCGGGGAACGGCTTCTCGCTCGCGGCCTTGGCCTCGGCGTCCTGGGCCTCGGGCCGAGGGCGATCATGGATCGAGGGTCGAGGATCGTGGGCCTGAGGGGCAGCCACATCCCCCGACCCCTGTGATGGCAAAAGAACAGACTGGCCAGCTTGCCACGGTCTTCGATTTCTGGGAGGCCTGACCAGGCCCGGGGAGGATACAGCAGCAGCTTGCGACGACAAACTGATGCCAGGGAAGCGTTCGAGACCTCTGAGCGTCCACATTGTGAGAAAAGTGGATCAAAGATCTAGGAGCCATCTGTTTGGGGGACTCTTTGTGTGCCCTCTGGGGGCCTCCGGGGAAGCCTCTAGAGGCCTCCGACCTGTGAGTACTTCTGGAGACCCTCGGAACACTCCATGGGCTTCGGGTGGCCTCTGAGGATCTCCGCATTCCTGGTGGGAATGGAAAGAAAAGGGTGGGAGTGCGAAGTGGAGGAGTGCGGCTGGCCGGCGAGGGCGGTTCGAAAGGGGCAGCAGGACAAGCACAAATACATGCGTCGACGTCATTTGCACAGCCCGAGCAATGCTAGATGTTTCCGAACGGTGCTTGGGGTGGAAGTAGACGACACTAGAGACACACATTCAACATCAGGGGGCTTGAAATCAATTGAAAATGAGCTCCGACCTGGAGGAGCAAAGGGCGGGGAGGGGAGCGACACGGGCGGAACAGGTGAAGTCTGGCGCAAAGACGCAACGCGTAGAATACTAAGTGTGAGCGGTAAGAAGAAACGGGGAGGCATTTGCTCGGGAAGCACAAGCTGCGAAAACCACGGAAGGCAGGCCAGCCCATCTCAGAGCAAGCAAGCGACGCGCCTACCAGGGATTCTGGGCCTCGGTTCCGGAGGCGAATTCTGCTTTCACCCAAAGAGCGCCTTCAATATTTTCAGACGATGGGGCCACGGGGGCCAGAAGGATCGATAAGGCGAAGCCTCGTCGCCAACGCTGCAACGGGGCAAGCATGCGAAGCTCTGAAGTCGTCCTTCTCTTCTCTTCTCGTCTGTTCTCTTCTCTTCTCTTCTCTTCTCTTCTCTTCTCTTCTCTCCTCTCCTCTTCTCTTCTCTTCTCTTCTCTTCTCTCCTCCTCCTCCTCCAGAGACGCCGGCGGAAAAGCTCTGGCGGCGGCGCCAGAGAAATCGAGGCCTGAACAGAACGAGAAACTCTATCACCGGACATCGACGGAAGTAGACGAAGATGAGCACGCGGACGACTAGCTTGCTAGCGTCATCGCGTACGACCCGCGGCACCACTCTGGCCAGCAGTCATGCCACAATCACACATCATGGCGACATCGAGCACAGAAGCGAGAGGCCGGGTGTTCCTGGCCCGCTGGCGGCGACATGTGCCCCGATAGATGCTCCTGCACACATATTGAAACAAAGAGGGGGAAACCACGCATTCCTAAGACGCGCGCGTCGCTGGCACGTCAAAGCAGCCAATCACTACACGACCTAAACCATCCTTCATGGTCTCGAAAGACACCCGCCACAAGAAGTAGGGCCGCAGCTAACATGTGGCCGTTGCAGAACAACCACTTGAGAACGTACACGTCCTTTCACGAATCAGAGATCGCCGCGCAATGCAACACACACCAACGCAAAACACGGCGGTCCGCAAAATCAAGACCGAGACCGCACGGCCTTACGAGGGCTGTTCAAACCATGACCGCACGCACAGACAAGATCGCCTTCGTCAACGGCCATAGCCAATCGGGAAACTTCACCCACGATTATGCAACATGTTCACAGGCACCACTCGGATATACAACGTGCGTTTGCGAGCGACAACGCTAATTCCTGCGACACGGGGAGAACGTGCTCAAAATAAACCGATTCGGTCGTCGGTCAGTCCATGTTCGGTGGACCTGTTCCCACGCAGGCGCCATTCAGTGCTTGATTTCAGGCGGCGGTACCACCGTCAACCACAGCTCGGCCCAAGCGCCACGGGAAGATGGGCAGGAACGTAAATCTACGATACCAGACACCAGGCAGACAGGGTATCACTGTGGACTCAACGGCAGCGTGGCAATTACATTCGTGGACTTCGATTCGTAGGCCCGTCGGTTCACACGAATAGACCGCTCCGATCCGTAGTCACGCTGTCCAACAGGCAAAGCGGCAAACAACCAGGCAGTGCCAGCAAATACCATACTGTGAAGGATGAGAAATCCAACCAGAGGCGATAGCGCGAGGGCTAGACAGTCATAAGCAGCGGCCTCGAGCACACCTTACATGAAGGCGGAGGTGATGATGCGGTTGCCCTACGTTTCGGTTAAGCACAACGCGACAATGTCGCAAGGGGCTTTGATGCACATCTTATCATTTCCACCACCGTACCTCGAAACGCGAATTGGAGCGTCCGCAGGTCTCACCAGGGACTCCCCTACATTGGATACAGTAAATGCGTGGGCGCCCCCGCGACCACATTGCACAGGTGTTTGATCGGGGCGGCGGTGGGGCCCTCGTGCTGCTTGCCGTGCGCAGGCCGGAAGTGCCTGACGAAATATTGCCCAGGGACATATCCAACCCTTGAGAAACATGTGGCGACTACACACCAGGCCGCTCACTACAAACGAATGGTTTGAAATACCTACAGTGTGCAGGGGCAGCCAGGAGTGAGATCTGAAGAGCGCGACAACGGGAGCAACGACACACTCGCAACCATAGAAACCCAACTACGCTGTGAGGCGGACACTGGAAAAGTGAGTACGAACGGGGGGGCAACGAGAGCAACGACAACCACCTAGCACCCGAGCGTGGCAACAACAATAGCAAGGCAACGTAAGAAACCAGACGCAACCAACAGTGAAAACAAACGGGCGCTTCAGGGGAAGCACGCAGGCTTAGCAGCGCCATGCGCTGTGTTCGCGTTGCATGACATTGCCCGGCGCGCTATGACAGAACAGCGCCCTTCGCTGAGCGTAGCATGTCCCTGAGTGCACTACGGGCAGAAGGGAGCTACAGAGGGGATGCGTGTCCCCCCACTCCGCGGCACAACTCGGGAGCCAACATAATGAGGCGACACATGCGCACTTCGCAGCCCCCAAGGGAGCCGCGAGGTCTCAACTGGAACCCCGTGTCCCCCTACTCCGCGGGACCTCGAAGGAGCCAACGGAAGTGGCGAGCACTTCGCAGCCCCCCAGGGAGCGGCGAGGTCTCCACTGAATTCCCGTGTCCCCCCCGCTCCGCGGGACCTCCCAGGAGCCAACAAACTTGGCGACACTTACGCACTTCGCAGCGCTCAATTGAGCCGCGAGGTCTCAACTGGATCGCCGTGTCCCCCCCCGCTCCGCGGGACCTCCCAGGAGCCAGCGTGGCGACAATTTCGCACTTCGCAGCCTCCAAGGGAGCCGCGAGGTCTCAACTGGAACCCCGTGTGCCCCCCACTCCGCGGGACATCCCAGGAGCCCACGACAATGGCGACAATTGCGCACTTCGCAGCCCCCCAGGGAGCCGCGAGGTCTCAACTGGAACCCCATGTCACGGCCCGTGTCCACGAGGTGCCCCGGGGGGGACATCCCAGGAGCCAACGAAAAAATGGCGACCCTTGCGCACTCCGCATCGCTCAAGAGAGCCGCGAGGTCTCAAGTGGATCGCCGTGCCCCCCCCCCCCTCCGCGGGACCTCCCAGGAGCCCACGAACCCAACGAGGATTGCGCACTGCGCAGCCCCCAAGGGAGCCGCGAGGTCTCAGCTGGATCCCCGTGTCCCCCCCACTCCGCGGGGCCTCCCAGGAGCCAAACAGAAGTGGCGACAGTTGCGTACTTCGCAGCCCCCCCCAGGGGGCCGCGAGGTCTCAGCTGGATCCTGGTGTCCCCCCCACTCCTCGGGGCCTCCCAAGAGGCAGGAAGTACGAGGCAGGCGGCAGGAGGGGGAGGGGGACGGAGCAGGCAGTGCTTTATCCATAGCGAGAGCCCTCGACCGAAGTTGACGACGACGACGACGACGACGACGACGACGACGACTTCCAGGCCTGGAGCTGCTCCGCGGCCACCAGCACTCGGTCCGCCAGCTTGTCGGAGAGGATCGACCCGGCCTCAAAGGCTCGATGATCGGAAATGGTGCGAGAAGAGTTCGAGGATGGACCAGAGGCTCGAGACTTTGAGGGTCGGACAGGGTGTGCCGCCTATCTGAAGACTCTGGGAGCCTCTCACACCTCCAGAACGGGTGCGGCCGCCGAGACCGGCAGAGACCTCCAGGAATTGGAAGGTGCGGGGCTCCAGGGTCGTTGCTCGAGGAGGTTCGAGGGGGTTGGAATTCGAGTTCAGAGTCGACGCTCGAGGTCTTGGGAGTGTTTGGAGCCATTTCGTGGGACTGCCAGAGACCTCCGGGGACCTCCAATTCGGAACTCGACGATCCAGGCATTTGTTCTGTCTCTGGTCTTTGTACGGACCTTAACTTCATCAGCACGCGGGCCTCAGAGAGCTCTCGAACCCTTCCCAGGGACTGTTCTTTCATCCTCTGTAGTATTATGATGGTCCTCGGGCCTAAAACTGACCGCGTGCAGTCCCTGGCGGTCCTCATCGACGGCGTCATAGTCGTGGGTAGGCCTTGTCCGCGTCGTCCCGCTCGTCGTCCTCGTGCCGTCGTCGTCGTCGTCCTCGTCCTCGTCGTCGTCGTCGTCCTCGTCGTCGTCGATGTCGTTGTCGTTGTCGCCGTCGTCGCCGTCGTCGCCGCCATCGCCGTCAGCGTCAACGCTGTCCCCGTCGTGTTCGAGGAGTAGGGGAGGCAGGCGAAAAAAATAGAGAAATGAAGGAAGGAGGGAGAGTTTCCCCCACTTCTCTACTCCCGTCCTATCGTTTCCCCTCACTTCCTTGCCTTTGGAGGGGTGAAGGAGAAAGGACGGGGCAGGAGTTGGAATTATGGAGGGGTGGCCCGTTTCTCCTCCCCTCCCCTCTCTTCGCCTTACCGCCTTGCAACCCCCCCTCCCCTCGGATCGAATCCTACCTTGCCTTTCTTACTCCCTCCCCTCTCCTCCCCTCCCAGAGCGGTCCTGGAAGTAGACCAGCGGCCCCAAAACATGTCCAGGGGACTACTCCTCCACTCTCGGGGGGGTGATGCCAAAGAACTCTTGGCCCAGCGTGTCACCGGCGCTCCGCGGCTTTCTGGAGCCCTTGGGGACATTTGGTAACTGTGAGGGGTGCTCTGGAGGCCTGGAAAAGACAGGGCTTCACCCACGACTGCATTTTCCAAGAACCCGCGACAAGACCCAACACTGTGGACGCCCCCCCCGCCTCCCCCCCCCTGCCCCTGGGCATGGCTAGTAGGGCAGCGAATTTCCAGACGGCGCCGGCGCCAAATGTGATGCTACCAACCCCCTCGAAACCCCCGTAACAGCCGACATCGCGAGAGGATAGAATTTTAGCCAGTGTGCGTCGACCCACGAGCGCTCACGGGCGGGAACGTAGCGAAACCTCGGCGGACACGTACAAGTACTTCAGCGACCGAGGTGAGAGCCCCAAAATGCAAGCCCTGTGGGGGAAAACGGGCTCCACTCTGGTAAGGCTGTCCCCAGGTCCAACGTGTCTCGCGTTTCACCCCCGCCCCCCTAGGAGGGGGAGGAGGAGGAGCACGAGGAGGACCAGCGCATGGCAACACGAGCGCTCGAGTGGCAGCACTTGGGGCTGCTTGCCTGATGGGGTTCGAGGCTTGGTACATCACTTGGCTCCTCTACGAGGTACATTCGCAGTACCTTCCAAAGACTTGCACGCCACAGCGGATGTCATCGCGAATTGCGTCGAACACGAGAAGCTGGTGACCGATTGGCTAGATCGCGAGTTTGCCCAGCCCAGTGCCTTCCCAGGGCAAGCTTCCTCCTCACGCGTAGCCTTGGTCTTGTCAGAGAGACAGATCTGGGGAAGCCAAAAGGTACCCATACCGCTACTCCCCGGGCCTCTCCCGGGGTGCGCTCTGACTCGGATTTCGAGGAGAATCCAGCGGTGCCGACGAGGGCCTCCCAGGAGGCCCAAAAAGGGGAAAACCGGCGAAGGATAGAGGTATGGGTACCGTTTCCCCCTCTGAAGATCGAGTGGTACAGGAGGCAGAGCCAGCGTTTCCCTTGGTGGCTCCAGACGTGGGCCGCACGAGGGCCTCGGGAGGCCCGGGGAGGGGGGAGGGGCCGCCGCAGCCCCAGGGTCCGAGGCACTCCCAGCAGCGGCTCTGCCTCGTCACGACTCCGAGACGGAGGCAGCACCTACCGCAGGGTTGGAGGCCTGTACGCTCGACCAGGATGGCAAGGATGCGCGGTAAGGATGCAATGGCCTTGGAACGCCATGTTGACGTTTCCCGTGCGGAGCGCAGCAGAATGCCGAAGAATGCCGAATACCCAAGGGGCAAGGATGCGAGGGTAGCCTTGGAAAGTTGCCCCATCCTCATTATCATGGTTGACTGTATCGAAGAACCCTGGTGAGCCTCTTGGAGGGCTCCGCCTGCAGGGCTCTCTCGGCCACCGAAAGCTGCAGGAGCTTGGCGGCAGCCCTCTGGGCCACACGGTCGGTGGCTTCCGAATTTCCTGTGGCGCACCACCACCACATCCGAAAGAGGCTCGGGGAAACTAAATCTTGTGAGGTCCCACGTTGGCAACTTCAAATTCTCCATCTCGGCTGACCGCACCACGCTTGGCCATCGATCCGAGACTGTCGGACTTGACCTGCCTACACGCGGAAGTGTTGCGATTGTGGAACTCTATGACCCACTTATAATCACAATTGATCCTGGCGATACCTCTGAACTGGCTGGCTGCAGGAGGAGGTAGAAAGTCCGCTGTTGGCGACGATGCTGGAAAGTCAGCTCTCACCGTGCCTCAGAGGAAACCGGAAAGAGAGCCATCATGCCCAGCTTGAGGAAAGCCCATCCTTCGCCGCACTCCCACCAACGTAAACCTCACTGACAAGCAGCTCATCGGGCGAAAGGCACTCCTCGGACCAAACTCGGCTTCTTCTACACAAAGCCCTGGTGGCCTCGCGACCTTACACGGTGGGGGCAGAAGGAGAAGGAGAAGACGGAGGCGGAGGAGGCGGAGGCCAGGTCAACGGCCTGCTTCAGGGCGGGCAAATCCTCGCCCTCGTTGATCTCCTGGCGGGCGCCGGAGCTCCCGGGGGCCGCTGCAGTGGGCTCAGATGGATCGGGGCAGCGAAGAGCACAGGGCAACTGCACTGGGTCGCCCTTCCGCCTCGATCCTCGAGTCGAGGATCATGGTTGATTAATCGCCATAGGCCTCTGGGGTCGAGGTTTCGCTGCGCTTGGGTGCTTGGGTGGGGCGATGCTGGGCCCCATGCAGGAGTTATGTAGAGGTTTGCAGAGACCTGCTGGGGCCTCCGGAGTCTCGAGACCTCGGGAGAGGGGGGACGCGAGGATGCAAGTGAGGAGCGCAAGACCATTTGGCATCCGTGTTGCAACAGTCTCGGAGGCGCACTCCGGGCCGCATGGCGAAGCATGGGCCGCAAAGGCAAGGATGCGACGCCATCCTTGGACAGACTAACACAAGTAGAAAGAGGATACCTCCAAGACCGCGCATCACAAGGCTCCCGCAACAGCAGAGGGTAGCCACAGCTCCCAAAAAAGCACGGAGAGAGCGCCACGACGGTTTCGAGAGGCCTTGGAGTGATCATGTCGCGGGGGCAGGTGCAAGTTGACAAATCCCAAACCTCTGCTTGACACAACCACTCCCCCTACTCCGTTTTCACAAAATCTCCCCCAACCTCCTCCTCATCCTCCTCCTCCTCCTCCTCCTCCTCCTCCTCCTCCTCCTCCTCCCCCTTCTCCTCCTCCTCCTCTTCCTCCTCCTACTCGTCCTCCTCCTCCTCCCCAAATGCCCGTTATGGATGGGCTGGCGGGGGTGGCGGGCCTCCGTGAAACGGAAAAGCCTTGGTAGGCGCTCACAGTTCGCAATGCGTGGGATAATGGGAGAAGTACGCCTACTCCAGATTTCGTAATAAAGGGGTCTCTTCCAGGCTATCTTGGAGGGCCTGGGGGGGTCTGGGGACGATGTGTTGGAGGGTTCTCCCACGGGGGGGTCTAAAACTTCTCGTCTGGGAGGGTTGAGACCCCCTCCCTTTTATCACGAAATCTGGAGTACCATTATATCAAGGCTACGCGTAGGAACGCATGTAGCGCGAACGCACTATCGGGCAGCCCGGGCGCGCATACATATAAACTAACAAAACAACGGTACACACGCTGCTCACACGCATGACCAGTACCGTTAATCATATCAGTTATTCGGGTAGCCCGCTGCATTGTACTCGCTGCCTATTCTCCAGATTGCTCAGAGACCGTCTCTCCAAGCATGTTTCTTGTTTGCTGTCTACTAGAGGAGCCCGCGCGAACAAACTAATTGTTTTGTAGGGGGGCCGCGCGAACAGGACAAAATTCCTGGCACCTCTCGGATGTCCCAAGATTTCGACAAGGACGGCAACTCACGACCAGCAGGGACGAAGACGTCTCGAAAACGGCCTGGGGAGGCTCCTAAGAATAAAGAAACGAACTCTGTACACCGACGCTGGTTCCGGCCCTGTACTGCAATTTTCACAGGAGATCGCATCCTGGTGTGTAAGGAACCCTGGTTTTTGTGTTTTCCCCGGGAAGACGGAGAAAAAAGTATACACCACACAACCCCGACGTCGTCCCCGACCCTCAAACAAGTCCTGGCATTGAAAAACAGCCCGCCGCTGGTAATGTAGATGCTCCAGTTTCCGACCTAAGAGGTCCTCCAGATGGGCCCTATAAGCCTGTAAGATAAACCAGGAAGGCCCAAAAAAGCCCTCGACTGAAAATCTCGAGCGCGGTCAGTATTTGATGCCGCAGGCACGTGATCAGCGGCGTTCGCGCGATCCGACGTTTCGAGGCGGCCCCCGCCCCCGATGCTGCCCAAGACGGCCCGTGGTGGCCCCAAAAGGCCGCCCACTTCGACCAGGATGGCCCAGCGAGGCCCCAAGATGCCGCCAGGATGCACGCCCTCAAGATTGGCCCGAGAAGTCTGCAGACATCCCAAAGACCAACGATGGCCCATCGTGGCCCCAAGCTACCCCCGAAATGACCCACCAAGGTACCCCAGAAGGGCCCGGCCCGGGGGTACAGCGACAGAGGGCGCAGCCCTTGAGATCCGACCGCTCCCGCCCTGCGGGTTGGGCCGTGCGCGACCTCTCTGACAGAGTGTTTGGCAGTCTTTAGCCCCATTCGCCAGTGCCTGGTCAAAAACCTCCCTGAAAGTCCCTCCGACGGGGCCCCACTCTGCCGCCGGCCCCCCCCTCCTTCAAGGTCCGGAATAGCCCAGGGACGACCAAAGAGCGCCCCAAGCCGGTCCAAGAGAGTCCCAAGCAATCCATGTCATGAGAGCCTCCAGACGGCTCCAGATCGCTCCAAGACGCTCAAGATTGCTTCCAAACGGGCCAAAACGCCTCCAAGACGGCCTGAGAGACCTCCAAGAGGACCCCCAAGAGAGCCCCAAGAGACAAAAATTATTATTTCCTCGATTCGGCTTACCGACGCTCCAAGACGGCCCAAGAGGCCCCCAAGATCAGCTCCAACACAGCGCACGAGGGCCCCAAGACAGCCCAAGAGGCCCCCGGGACGGCCCAAGAGGGGCCCCAGGACGGCCCCGAGAGGCGCCCAGAAGGGGAACCCGAACGAACACCTCGAGATTTCGGTCCCAAGACGTCCCCAGGAGCCTCTAAGAGGCCCCCAGGAGGCCCACAAGAGGCCCCAAGAGAGCCCCAAGAGGCACCAAGAGGGCCCCAAGAGGCCCCCAAGAAGCCCCCAGGAGGCCCCCAGGAGGCCCCTAAACTCCCCCGCAGAGGCCTCCGAAAGCCCTCTCGAGAGACCCCAAGAAGCGTCCATGAGGACTCCGACCCAAAACCCAAGCGCGGTGGCGGGATGGGCCGACGGCCATTTGATAGCTGGCATACACGCCGCGTCACGACTTTCGATGCTGCGCACCACTTCGGCAAACTCCCAGGGAGCGGCCCGTGATGCGCCGCTGGCGTCCTCGATCCGGCCTCCTCCCTGCCCGCGGAGAGAGGGAGCGGGGCCTTGGGCATCTCCTCCTTCGCCCCCCGCGGAGGCAGGGGCCAGGGCAAGGGGGGAAGGGTGGTGGAAGGGGCCAGAAGTGGGCGGGGGCGAGAAGTGGGCGGGATGGCGGAGAAGGGGGAGGGGGAAGGCAGAGGAGGACGGGCAGGCGGCGGGCCGCAAAGGCGGTCTGACTCCTCCCCCCTCCCCCCCTTGGGCTCCAGGAACCACCCTCCTCCCCTCCTCCCCCCTCATTCTCCTCGGCGCCCTCCGTCATCTTCTCTGCTGCAGTGAGCACCTCACCGATGCATCCACACGTGCCCTCCCCCTCATTCTCCCCCTCCTCGTCGCCCTCCTCATCCCTCTCTTCGTCCCCTATCGCTTCCTCCTCATCCTCCTCCTCCTCATCCTCCTCCCCTCCTCCTCCTCCTCCTCCTCCTCCTCCTCCTCCTGTTCTTCCTCCTGTTCCTCCTTCTTCTCCTCCTGCTCCTCTTCCTCCTCCTCCTTCTCCTCCTCCTCCTCATCATCCTCCTCCTCCTCCTGTTCCTGCTCCTGTTCCTCCTCATTTTCCTCCTGTTCCTCTTCCTCCTCCTCCTTCTCCTCCTCCTCCTCCTCCTCCTCCCTATCCGCCTTCTGCCCATCCTCGACCCCGCTCCATCATCCTCCCTCTACTCCCTCTTCATTATTCTCGCCCCCCATCCTTCCCCGTCTCCCTCCTGTGCTGTTCCCCCCCCTCCTCTCCATCTCCTCCTCACCGTTCTTCCCCTCGACCCACTTCGCCTCGTCCACCTGCCCCTCCCGATCCTCTCCCTCCTCCTCCGTGCCCGCCCACGTCGGCGCCGCCCTGCTCGTCTGTCTGCCACCCCGTCCCCGACGCCGCTCTTTGAGCACGTGCGCGGTCGCATTCCTTCAGGATCCCGATCATGCGCTGCATGTGGTCCGTGGTGGTTTCGTTCTGGATCTCCTGCCCCAACGAAGCCGCTCGTGAACCCCAGAGGGTGTTCATCTGTGTTACAGCTGCGGCGGGGAAGACGTGTGAACACATGCGCAATTTTTGTGTATGAGCCCGAGGTGTCATTTGTTCAGCCCGCCCGCGGACTACATGTTTGTTGGTCAGCTCACGCTGGGCGCGCTGCGTGAGCTAACGGCCGCAGTTATTGGGGCCCATACGGCGGGCAGACAAGACAGCACCGGACGATATAGTCCTGGAGTGCTGGGACAGAAACACTGCACATTCATAAGTTGTGTGACCTCCGCGCGGGTTTCTTGGATCGGCGCTGGACTCCCCTCCCTGGCGGGCGAGCGCGCCAAGGGCAGCGCCATAGGAGCCAACGCAAAACCACAAAATCCGCGTGGAACTTGAAACAATGGTAGTCATGCAGTTATGTGTTTCTTCTTCTTCGTCCTCATTTTCCTATTCTTCGTGTTATCATTGCTACTAGTCGTATCCCTGCTTATTCGATGAAAGCTCCAGGTGAGGCTGTGATCCAAGATGGATGAAGCATTCTCCAGGTGATCGCCGCGCGCGCACGGAGCGCGTCGGCTCTGGGAGTCTGGCCCAGCCGCACCGATCCCTCGGCCAACGCCGAGGAGATCATTTTTTTATTCCGGCCGGTAACGCTCGTTACCCGGGGGGGGGGGGGGGTCGTGCCCCCCGGGTAACGGTAACGCTTGGGCTGGGCGGGGTATGGCGAAGCAGGGGCGCCCTGCGATCGCCATAGTATGCGCGCGAGCAGCACTCTCTGCCTGAGAGCACCACAGTGGCTTGCGATTCGAGTACAAGCGCAAAGCCCGCCGCGTGGTCCCGGCACCACGCCCGCGCCCGCGCGCGCGACGACGATGATCGACGAGCGACGAGCGACGAGGTCGACGACGACGACGACGACGTTTGCCGCCTGTTTCGGCCTCCGGAGGCCGTTTTCGGGCGCCGTCGACGACGACGACGACGACGACGACGACGACGACGACGACGACGACGACGACGACGACGATTCGAGTACAAGCGCAAAGCCCGCAAGCACCAGCATCGCGCATGCGAGCGCCGCAATGGCCTGCGAGCGCCCACAGTGCGCCTGCGACCACCACACCACAGTGCGCATGCCTTCGGGCACCAGCATGTTGGAGGGGAAGACCGAGACCCCCCCCGCGTACGAGCGTTACCGTTACGGGGGGTGGGGGGGGGGGGAGAGGCCCGGGTAACGAGCGTTACCCCCCAGAGGATAAAAAAACAATTTCGAGCCTCAACGAGGCGCTTCCGAACAATGCCCACCCTCCGCGGGAAACGGCATCGATAACACGATGCGTTGCACGCGGGCGCCAGAAGGACGCGACAGCCCAAAATCAACATCAGAAAACAAAGAAACATGGTTTCTTTGTTTTCGGGTGTGGATCTTGGTTTTTTGAAGAAAAAACTCGCCGGAAACGATGTTTTCACTATACCAACTCCCCTGGTTGATGACTCCTTCACGACGGAAAGGTTGAGACCTTTCTGCCCCAAAAACAACTGATCTTCTCGAGTCGTTTTGGACGGTCCCGGGGCCCAGTAAGGGCCCCAGGACAACGATCACTACAACAACTCGGGAGGCGCGAGGTGGAGGCAGGAGAGGAATCAACAGTTGCATAAACATAAGCGCATAAACGTTCGGAGGTCCGCGCGGATTTCTAGGATCGGCGTTGGATCCCCTCCCTTGCGTGCGGAGCGCGCCAGAGGCGGCGCCGGAGGCACCGCCGAGGGGTGGCCATCGCACATCGGAGAAGTCCGCGCGGCGCTCCGAAAGCTTATCTCGATGTCGATGTAGTTGTTCTTCTTTGATTGCTGGAACACTCTTCGGCGTAAGACAGCACTGGGGGTCTGGCCGGGCCGCGCCGACACGACGGCCTGCGCAGCAAAGCTGTTTCCGGCGCCTATATGAGAGATCCGCACGGACCCTCGAGAGTGTGTGTTCATGCCTTTGTGTTCCTGCGAGGCAGGTCCCCAGCTGCAGGGCAATATTAGGGGGGGACTGGCCCAAGGGGAAAAATGCCGAGCTGGAATCAGCGATACATCGCCGATAGATCGACGAAAAGCCCCCGATACCGAATCCACACGGGCCTGGGCCCCCATCGGCGATGAGTGGGTGATTGGGCGCCGATGGATCCCCCCCCCAATCCTGTCCGTGTCCCCGGCGGTGGCTTTCGTACAATAATTCGGTCCTCGGGACGATCCGGGCACCCCCGGAACGCTCCCGGTGAGGCGCAGCCACTGGAAAGCATCCCGCGGCGCGAGGCTGGAACACCGCCGAACACCGGCACGACTGTCAGAGAACATTCTGGGAATGCGATGCCGAGTTGGACGCTGCCCCTGACTTGGTGGTCCCCAAACGTGGTGGTGACAACACCTGGCGGTGAGTCTCGGGCGATTTGGTGTCACCACCCGGTTTGGGGACTCGTGCAGTTTTCCGAGGATGTCCCGGACACTGGTGGGTCCAGGAGTCACAAAACCCGGTGGTGACCCCGCGTCCCCAAACCCAGCGGTGACCTTTTGGGGGATTCCAGGTCACCACCTGGTATCTCACCAGCCGGTTTGGGGGTTCCCAACTGACCAGCACGCCACGCCCGACGGACCGAGGCGGCGCCGGGGGACGGCACCGCCTCGCACGGCGGCGGCCACGGCGGCAGCCCTCGCATCCCCCCAAGCAGCCAGGCGCGCTCGGGGTCGCGCACCGCGCTCCCCGCCAACGAGGTCGTCCTCCTGTCCTGCTCGTCCTCCTCCCCCTCCTCCCCCTCCCCCTCTCTCTCCACCGCCTCTTCCTCCTTCTGCTCGTGCTCTTCCTCCGCCTCCTCCTGCTTTGACTGCGCCACCTCTTCCGCCTCCTCATCCTCCTGCTCGTGCTGCTCCTTCGCCTGCTCCGCCTCCGTCTCCTCCTTCCGCTCCCCCTCCTTATCCACCTCCTGCTCGTCCTCCTTCTCCTCCTCAATATCCTCCTCCTCCTCCTCCTCCTCCTCCTCCTTCTGGTCCATATCCTCCTCCTCAATGTCCTCCTCATCCTCCTCCTCCTCCTCCTCCTCCTCCTCCTCATCATCATCATCATCCCCCTCACTGCTCCCCTCTCCTCCTCCTCCACCTCATTCTCCTCTTCCCCCTCCTCATTCTCCACTTGCAACTCCTCCTCCTCCTCCTCCTCCTCCTCCTCCTCCTCCTTCTTTGTTGGGTTTGCCATGCACTGATTCGGTCAGGCAGTAGCGAATCGCCTTGTCCTCGACTCGGACCCTTTGCTCCCTGTGATACTATCCAACCCACCTCGTTTGCTGCTGCCTCCAGCTGTATATCCTGCCTCCCGAATCCTAACCCCATGTCGTCATGCTCTTCCAGCTCTACATCCATCATTACCCCCGTCTCATCCGCATCATGCCCATCATCATCGTCATCATCATCATCATCATCATCAGCAGCAGCATCACCATCATCCTCATCACCACCACAAACCATCATCATCAGCATCATCATCATCATCATCAACAACCTCAACATCAACATCGTCATCATATCATCAGCATACTTAGCAACACAAGTATCGAAATCAGTATCATCATACTCCGTCTCATGATCCTTGTCGTCATCTTCGTCATCGCCGCCATCAATCATATTACATACAATCATCATTGCCGTCGTCAGCAGTATCGTCATCAGCATCATCATCCTCAGTATCAGCACCATCACCCTCATCGCCAGGTGTACCAACATGATAAACCTTGACGCCTTCAGGCTTCTGGCCTGCATCATTAGCATCAGCATCATCCTCAACATCAATAGACTCAGTGTCATCACCGCCATCATCATCAACCTCATCATAGTCGTCAACATACATTTCATCACTATCATCATCATATTCATCATCATCCTCATCATAATCATCTGCAGCATCAGCATCATCATCAGCAGCACCAACATCGTCACCATCGTCACCACCACCATCACCATCACCAGCATCGTCGTCGGCATCGTCACCAGCATCATCACCATCATGCTCAGTGGCATCATCATCGTCAGCATCATCGGCAACATCATACTCGCCCCTCCTCAACATCAAGTGCTCCTACTTGCGCCTCCTGATCGTCACCTTCCCGTACACAGATCCTGCACGTCCACCCTCTTCATCATTACCATGCTCCGGTATACCTCCGCCTCCTCCTGCCTGTATCCCCACTTTCTCCACTACGTGTGCCCCCACCTATCGTATGATCTCTCTCTACCTCCTGGCCAATACGCTCCATCCCCCTGCACCTCTCCCCCTCCTCCTTTGGTCGGTGGAAGCGCTGAAGGCCCCCAAGAACAGGAGAAACGCAACAGCGCACATATCATTCTCCCTCCTCCCTGTCTCCCCTCCCCCCAGTCTTCCTCCTACGATCTGCGACCTGCGACTCAACGATTGAAGTCCGACGAACTGCGCCACGTACATGAGCACAGCTGCTTGCATCAGATATGCGCCCTTACGCTAGCTCAAGGGCGACAATCAAGAAGGTAACAACACACCACCGAGATCGGGGGGGTGGGGGGCTCGGAGGCGAGATCGAACAAGCCCAGACCAAGCTTGGACGCTCCCTCCTTGTCCTCGTACCCCCCACACACAAACACACACACACACTTGTTGCGTCGGCGGCTAGGCAGACGGACTGCACTAGCGAGTGACACACACACAAGAAAACAAACATGAAACGCTTGAGTCCTGACTGCCTACAAGACTGACCCAACCCGACTCCAAAGCCCAAATCCCACCAGCCCTCTGGGCGTCGGTGGTTTAGGGAGTTTCCTCTTCCACCCATCCTTTTTCCCCTTCGGGGAAGGGTTTACCCCTCCCCCTACCCCCTCCCCATGGACCTGGACAAGGGGTTTCGCGAGTCGCCGGAGCGTCCAAAACGGCCTCGGCGAGGAAGCCAAACTCGTTGGTTTCACTAGGGTTTGGGTCAAATTTTGACCTCCTGAGG